GACCTAGAGTTGGAAAACCAAAAAGATGAACACGTTTGGCATTTTTCAAGCTGAAAGACCTAAGAAAAGATTCAAGTCTCAAGTTGCAATATTGAAAGATTCTATAAGCAAAATATTGAATGATGCAGGAAGCATCAAAAGAAGATGGAAGGAATACACAGAGTTACTGTCCAAAAAGAACTGGTCAACGTTCAGCCATTTCAGGAGACAGCATATGATCAAGAACCAATGGTATTGGAAGAAGAAGTCTGAGCTGCACTGAAGGAACTGGTGAAAAACAACGCTCCAGGAATTGATGGAATACCCAGTGAGATGTTTCAACAAATGGATGCAGTGCTGGAAGCACTTACTTGTTTATTGAAATTCAGAAGACAGCTACCTGGCCAACTGACTGGAAGAGATCTATATTTGTGCCAATTCCAAAGAAAGGTGGTCCAACAGTGAGGAAATTATCCAACAATATCATTAATATCACACACAAGTTAAATTTTGCTGAAGATAATTCAAAAACAGTTTGTAGCAGTATATTAACAAGGAACTTCTAGAAATTCAAGCTGAATTCAGAAGAGAACATGGAACGAGGGATATCATTGCTGATGTCAGATGGATCTTGGCTGAGAGCAGAGTACCAGAAAGATGTTTACCTATGTTTTATTGACTATGCAAAGGCATTTGACTGCGTGGATCATAACACATTATGGACAACATTGCAAAGAATGAGAATTCCAGAACACTGGATTGTGTTCATGAGGAACCTGTACACAGACCCAGAGGCTGTCATTGGCACAGAACGAGGGGATACTGCATGGTTTAAAATCAGGAAAAGTGTGCATCAGGGTTGTGTCCTTTTACCATACTTACTCAATCTGTATGCTGAGCAAATAACCCGAGAAGATAGACTATATGAAGAATATGGAATCAGGACTGTGAGAAGACTCATTAATAACCCGCGTTATGCAGATGACACAATATTGCTTGCTGAAAGTGAAGGTGACTTGAAGCACTTAATGATGAAGATCAAAGACTACAGTCTTCAATATGTATTACACCTTAACATAAAGAATGAAAATCCTCACAACTGAACCAATAAGTGACATCACAATAAATGGAGAAAAGATTGAGGTTGTCAGGGATGTCATTTTACTTGGATCCACAATCAATGCCCATGGAAACAGTAATGAAGAAATCAAATATAGTACTGCACTGGGAAAATCTGCTGCAAGGGATCTGTTTAAGGGGTTAAAGAGCAAAGTTGAAGACCAAAGTGTGCCTAACCCAAGCCATGGTATTTTCAGTCACCTCATACTCATGTGAAAGCTGGACAACGAATAAAGACTGAAGGTGAGTTAATACATTTGGATTAGTATAGGTGAAGAATACTGAAAATACCAGAAGAACAAACAGATCTGTCCTAGAAGAAGTGCAGCTGGAATGCTCCTTGGAAGCAAGAATGGCCAGACTTTGTCTCGCCTATTTTGGTCATGTTGTCAGAAGGGACCATTCTGTGGAGAAGGATAAAATGCTTGGTAAAGTGGGCCATCAAAGAAGGGGAAGACCCTTAAGAAGATAGATTGACACAGTGGCTGCAACACTGGTCTCAAGCATAGCAAAGCTTGTGAGGATAACGCAGTGTTTCCTCCTGTTGTACATAGGATCGCGAAGTCGGAGTAGATGGTGTAAATTTAGGAAATTTAAGTAGTCCTACCAAACAGTCAGCGGGTCACATCCACCAGCCACTCAGTGGAAGGAAGATGGGGCGATCTACTTTGGTGAAGATTTACAGTCTCGGAAACCCAGTGGGGGTCGCTATGAGTGGGAATCGACTGGATGGATGGCAGGGAGTTCGGTTCTGGTTTAATGAATGCTCAGTGAACTCAGCAAGGCGTTTCCTTTTCGTTGCAAGGAACTTTAAGAATGAGATTTCAGGTTTCCAAGGAAACTGGTGCTGGAGTTAAAATACTGGGTTCAAAAGTCAAGTGGAGAAAGCTCTTTCCTTTACAAATCCAGAGATTTCGCGAGCTGTTAAGTCTTCTGGAGAGCTACCTTCCGGTGGCGCCAAGTATTGGGGCTGGTCTTGTTTCGGAGGTTTGGATTGGGTGTCAGATTTTTCACCGCCTATCTTTGCTCCAAGATTGGTCGCTGCTTGCTGGTCTGGTCGGGTGATTGGCTGCCTGAGCTAGCTCGGCGATTGGGTAGTGGGAGTCGAAGGGTAGGAAGCGGGAATTCGTCGGAAAGTGTGTTTCTGAGGGTATTTGACCAGATATCTTGGGGAGAAAAGGTAAAGCCGCCCGGAGCCTGGGAGCGGGAGGAGTAGAGTGGTGACCTAGTGAGGAACGCTTGTGTCCTTTCTTCTTTGCCAGGGCTCCTCATAATTTGTTCTCAGAAATCGGCTTCCTTTACTCTCGAACCGTTGTTAAGTTTACCTCAGAATCGCCAAGTCTTTCTCGGAGAGAGAGGCGCCAAGCCTGCCAAAGGAGTGACTTCCGCTGTCGCGCAAGCCGCTTTGAAGGCCCATCGGTGTTTACTGGGACACCTGGGCCTTGGGGATCACAGCTGCCAGTGAGAGGAAGGAAGTGGGGAAGAAAACATGGGTAGATAGGGGCCCCATCCGTAAAGTGGTGGAGCCGAGTTCTGTTATTAACGCGGGCCTCCGTGATATCTCTTAGCGGGAGGGGGCGCCAGGAGGCAGTCTGTGGGTTCGTGCTTTATGCCTTGGGAGAACTACCTAATTTCAGCTGCACATTGCCACAGCGGGGGTGGAGGATGAATTGATTTCTAGGTTACAGCTGAGTTACTAGTATGTTTTTGAGTTGTTGATTTAGATTGATGTTGTTGTTGTTATGTGCCGTAGAGTCAGACCCGACTCATAGCGACCCCTGCTTGGGTTTCCGAGGCAGTATCGCTGCGGAAGTAGATTGCCCCATCTTCCTTCCGAGGAGTGGCTGGTGGGTTTGACCGCCAGCCTTCTGGTTAGCAGTCAAGTGCCTTAGGCACTACACTACCAGAGCTCCCAGATGGATATTGTTGTTGTTGTTGTTGTTATGTGCCGTCAAGTCGGCCCCGACTCATAGCGACCCCTCCTTGGGTTTCCGAGGCAGTATCACTACGGAAGTAGGAATGCCCAACCTTCCTTCCGAGGAGTGGCTGGTGGGTTTCAACCGCCAGCCTTCTGGTTAGCAGTCAAGTGCTTTAGCCACTATGCTACCAGAGCTCCTAGATGGATATTAGAGTCTACCAAATAGGATTCTTAAAGCTTTACAGATAGAATTCCAAAATTTTAGAACTGAAGAATACCTTAGAATAGTGGTTTTAAACTTCTGTAACACATAAGCTATGATTGAGTTTATTATTGGTTTCTTAATCTGTTATATTGCTATATTATAATTTAACAGTTCTTCATCTCTACATTATTTACTGTTTTTTTCTATGATTTCAAATAATTTCTCAATTGATAACATTTTCAGTTTCTCTATTTTAAATTATTTCATTAGTATGTATTTATGGGAGTGAGAAATCTATGGACTTTCTCCTCAGAAAAAAAGCAATTTCACACAGAAACTTCCACATGCAACACAAGAGGTCACAGTTTCTAAATTACACCTAGAGATCCTAGGTAAGAATACTGGTTAGAGGAGATGGGGATTAAAGTGGATCATTTTTTCTGTCAGGTCCCAGATTAGGCACATTTTGTGTGTTACCTTCTTTAATTCTTAGCTCAGTGCCTGGCTAAATGCTGTTACTAATTTTCATAAAAACTCTTGTGAAGAAGGTAATATTATTGCCATCTTACAGATGAAGAAACAGGCACAGAGGTTAAGTGAGTGACATAGTGGAATGCACATTTAGGCCTACCAGACCCGCAATCCCATCCTCTTTCCACTATATCCTACTGACCTTTAAATAAGAATTATTGAGCACCCACTGAGTTCCAAGGCACTTTCTTTCTTACAGCAACTTTTAAATGAGAAATTATTACAATTAAGGGTCATAGTCCAAGGAATAAAAAGACATATCTGAGTTGTTGTGAGCCCTGATCTAGAACCTAAACTTTTTGACTTCTGCTCTACAGCTTTTTCCTTCTAACTGGAAGACTACAGAAAGGGAAAATAGGAAAGGGCAGAATAGGAGGAGAAAAAGAGTTGTGCCAAGGATTTGCAGAGAGCATTGATCATCAGTTGATTATATCTGATTGAATTTGTAATAAGACCTCATGTTTAATTGGGCACCTATTATGTCCTTTTTGCATATTATTTCATTTAATCTATGTCCTATGAAGTAGATAAAGTAAGGACTATTACTGTCCTTACTTTATAAAGGAGGACCCTAAGGCCCAGAGAAGTTAAGTAACTTGCTCAAAGTCATACCACTAATACATGGTTGAGAAGGGATGCAAATCCAGATTTGTCATACTATAAGGCACATGCTCTCAACCACTGTGATTTATGTTTATTAGTTACTGTGGAGTTGGCTCTGAATCATGGTGACATTGTATAAAACAGAACAAAAAGTTGCCTAGTTTTGCCACATGTTCATTGTTGGCATATATGAGTCCATTGTTGTGACTATTGTATATTGTGTAACTTGAGTTTATCTTCAGTGCTATATCGGTTAATGTTCTCTTATCCATAGATTTTCATTGGCTGATTTTCAGAAATAGATTGCCAGGCCTTTCTTCCTAGTCTGTCTTAGTCTAGAAGCTCTTCTGACCCTACTGGGATTTGAAGTACAGATGGTATAGCTTCCAGAATCATAGCAACACTCAGACCACCATGGTATTACAAACTGACAGAAATTCTTTTGCTTCCGTTTTTTTATTTTCTTAAAAACTGTTTTATTTGTTAAAAATTGTTTTGTTAATGTTCTTAAAAATAGTTAATTGCATTTTTTATTTCCAGATTTCTGTCCTAGTGTTGAAGTCTAGTTTTACTTGAGTGTCATAGTTTTAATGCTGATTTTCATTTTTGTTGTAGTTAGAAATCTGAAATAAACAGGAAAGCATGATGTCTTCAATGTGGTCTGAATATACAATTGGTGGGGTGAAGATTAACTTTCCTTATAAAGCTTACCCGTCACAACTGGCTATGATGAATTCTGTAAGTAATCCTCAGAAATTATTTTAAATCTTTATTAAGATACAGATGCTTATAATTCATAATATATATTGAATTGACTGCATTCATTTACTTAGATAATAAATGGATTGGGAGTGTTTTTTGGGTTCATTTGAAGGAACATGAAAAAGAATCTAGCCTTTGAGAAAATAAATACTATCGATCATTACCAGGCTGTTTATATCTGTGGTTTGGAGGCAAAAGAGAACATTGTAAATGTTCTCAGTTCATTTGGAACATCTGTTTACTGAATTATTCCTTTTCACAAAGTATTTATTATCTTTTACACCAAAAACCAGACTCACTGCCATCAAGTTGATTCCTACTCATAGTGACACCCTTTGGGTTTCTGAGGCGGTAAATCTTTATAGAAGTAGATTGCCCAGTCTTCCTTCCGTGGAGTGGCTGGTGGGTTTGAACCACCAACCTTCTAGTTAGCAGTCAAATGCCTTAGGTACTATGCCACCAGAGCTCCATCTT